TTTTACAAATATAATCACATCAATGAAAAATTTTATTATGTGTGTGATTATATAGCAAAACCCTTACTATAAGCACACCTCACTATAATCACACTATTTAGTAGTCCTGAGCAGTGTGATTATAAAGGGGGATAACTGTAATTTGATTATTAGTATCAGAAAATAATCTTTTGTTAGGTACTGATGAACTGAGAATAGATAAATACTTTCTAGTTAATTTAGCTATATTAGGAAAATGAGCTTTTCGAATTGCCTACCACTCAAATGGATTTACATTATGATTAGCAATAGATATACAAATAAAATCTAAATAACATTTTAATTTAAAAAAGGATTTGCCATTAGTACCTGTATAACAAAAATAAAGGAGTGCAATCGGTTATGGTATTGTTGTTAGCTTAAGTTACCAAATAATGATAATGATTGTTCTGAGTTTAAATCAATTAATTTTTTAAATTAATGTATTAATTCTGTTTTTGCCTTATCGCGTATTTCTTCATTTCAATTAGAGAGTGTTTTTAGCCTTAGATCTAAAAGAGATGCTAAAAAACCAATTATTATAGGTTTATTCCAATAGAAAAATAATGAAATATAAATGATTCTTTTCATTATTTTAAGAATATCTTATGCAGGCTAAATAGTTGAAGTTGCTACTTTAGATCGAGTATGATAGCGATGTAATATTAATTACTCTAAATTATCAAGTTCTAGATTATCTTCTTCATTACTATCACTTAATCCAATTTCTTCATCTTCTTCAGTTGAAAATTTGAAACATCTATAAAATAAATTATAATTAATTAATTAGCAAAATAATTTTTATAATATATTATAATATAACTGATTTACCTTATTCTATTTTTGAATCTTCATTATTGTCTTCATCATATTTAGCATATTTAAACTTGAGGACTTAAATCAAAGAATAAATAATTGACAAAGTTGCATAAGATGTTTCACTAAAATATGTAGTGGCATCTTCAAATAGCTCTAATAAATTTATAATTTGTTTTAATAAATTCCATTTATGAGGTAATAAAAGTCTCTTTTTAAGTCTTTTTCTATCTACACGATCATTATAATTATCAGATAAAGGTAATGTTACAGCCAGCCATTTAATTGCTTTACGCAATTTTAATAAATAGTTTCAGGAATGATATTTGAAATTCCATTAGGTCTTTATATCAGCAATTTTTCGCAAAATTGTTCTTGTGGATTTGTTGAAATATTTAATGGTAGTTCATTTGTGTTATGATCATCATCATTAGAATCTTTATCATTGGAATTATCAGAAATATCTTAATTAATATATCTTTAATATTCTTTTTGAGCATTATCAAGACGCTCACTTTGCTTGGAAGAATTTGTAAAAAAATGTATTAGACATTTAATTCACTTAATATAAACATTAATCTTTTTAAATGCACGATAAATTGAAAGTTATAATGTATGTGTGATACAAGGTAAGCGTTCTATACCATTCCATTGGCTAATTACATTAACCATATTACTTCCATTATTAATCACAATACAGGTAATTTTTCCTTCTAATCCAAATTTAACAACTTTTTTTTTTTAAAAAAGATACAATATTTGTTCCAGTATGAGGATATGGTATACATTTCATATAAAGAAGATAATCATATACTTTAAAATCTTCTAATAACTAATGTAAAGTTATATCAATATACCTGTATTTACTTTTGGCTGTTCAAAAGTCAGTTGTTAAAGAAGTAGATTCACAAGTATTTTCAAGCAATATCTTTAATTCTTCAATTGCATTTATATATCCAGTATAAATTTTATTCTTTATTCTTTTATTAAATGGAATTGAAAATGCAGGGTCAAGAGTCATCATCATTTTTCGGTAACCTTTGTCTTGAATAATATTAAGTGGAAGATTATCAATAGTAATCCATTCGCCTGATTTCATGATTTCATGATTCCTTATGCGGTTTAACTTTTACTCTTTCCATCAATTCTGGTACAGTTAGTTGAATTAATTTATCTGTTTACTATAATTAAAAAAATAAAATTGTAAAATTTTCGATATGTATGTGATTGGTATTTAATATTTAAATTAAGAAATGATTTTCATATATAATGTAGTCTTTGTTTAAAAAAGATAGTATTACCTTATTCATTCCCTCATAAATGCTATACTTTCCACAAAGATGATTTGCCATGTTTCCTGTAGATTCATCATGCAAAAATTGCTGACTACAACATATTTTATTATTTTGCATATTCATAATCAGAATTTGACATATATCATACTTGTTTTCTTGGATCATATATTGTCACACCTAACTAGTTTTAGTATAATTACATTTTGATTTATTTAATTTCACTTTTTTTCTGCATGTGGTTGATCTTTATCAAGAGAAACTATTGAAGATGATGCTGTTGAAGGGGCTATTAAAGGGACTGTTGAAGGAGTACTACTAGAACCAGTAGATATATCATCAAAGGTATTATCCATTTCTGAAACTGTATCAGAAAGATAATCCTAAATATTATCATCTATCATAAATATTCTAGAAATTTAAATTAAAAGTTGATATGTAAAATGGTGAAAAAGTGAAGAACTGAAGGGCTAATTTATAGTAAAAAAAATTGTTAAAAAGGCTTAAATTTAGTTAATTTTCATATGGGTCAATCCAGTTTAAAAACTAGGTGAATTTAATACAGATATTCAGTTTGTCAAATATTGATCTGTGTTAACTTAATTTAATGCGGGTAACCTGGGTAATCATCAATTGATTCCAAATCTCTAGATGAAACATGATAAATGAATCAAATTTTTATAAAAATAAAAGAAAAAAAATGTGTTATACAAACCTTATAAAGTTCTTCAACAAGTAGGAACATTTTAGTCACACCTTATTTTTGACGAATTTTACACTGTTCAGTTTTCTTATTCTAGTTTTCTGACCCTCTCTTTTCTATTTTACTTACAGTAAGGTCTCATATAGCATTCTACATTTACCTAACATCTTTACATCTCTGGTCACAGTTTTTTCAAATAAATATTTAATGACAATAATATCTGGTTATTCCAAAAGATTCTAATGTGATACTTTTTATATCATAAAAAAAATCAAATTTTTGTTTACATTAATGATTTAATTTAATGGTTTTTTTTAAAAAAAAGAAAATATTAATAAAAAATTTTTTTTAATTACATTATAAAACACGAATAAAAGATAGTTACATTTAAAACTAATAGAAATCTCATTCAGAAAAATTACTTTAGACAAGATTACTTCTTCATATTCAATTAATTTCATATTTTTCATTTGTAAATAATCAATCAAAAGTCAATAGATAAATTAACATAATAATATGATATATAATAATAACTTACTTCTAATTTTCCTAACACTTGTTCAATTTTTGCTTTGGCTTCTTTCTTTTTATTCTTCAAATGTTGGAATGAGAATTCATTATGTTTTGTAATTCTCTGAGCCTATTGCTGTCAGAAAAGATTTTTTAAAAGCTTCTCATTTATTCAAAAATATTTCATTTGAAAAGCATTTCTCTAATTTTCTAATTTTTTATTATGACTTTTTACATCAATTAATTTCTCATTTAATTTTTCCATTTCTAAATTACTTTGTATCAAGAATTTTTAAGATGATATTTCTAAATTCAGTTCCCAAAATTTTGTCTGAACTCACCCAACAATACAGGCTAAAGATATAAAAAATTTGTGATAGATCCCTCCCAATCTATAATAGTTTCTGTAATTAAAATATGTTCACATATGATATGGGTATTTTTGATATTAATTCATCTTTCATTATATTTAATATTTGTTCTGTATTTATTGTGTATTCTACTTATTTGATAATCAAATTCAATCTAGTTTAATCTATTTTTTATATTTACAAATTATTGTTACAATTTTTCAAATCCTTTTAAATCCTTTTAATAAATTAAATGTAATTTGCTTCTTGTAAATAACATTTCTTGGGATTTTTTATGGTTTTATTATATTTTAATAAAGTAACTTGTAACTCATCATATGTCATTTCATAGAGAGCTTCTAATTCATCACATCAAGCTAAAATCTCTCTAAAACAGGCTGATATATTTCCTTGAACATTTAGTTTAAGATTGATTTTGTTTGAAAAAACTTCTCACATAAATTCAACCTTATCCTTTGCATCTTCAACGTAGGTTTTATCAACCAGAAGTTTAGCAATGTTTATTTATATTTTGATGAAATCAGTTGCAGATTTAACCTTTACTATGAAGTATGTGAAAGAAAAGGTTTTCGATATAAGCTTCATATTTTGTCATTGAAGTGTTATTTAAAAAAAAGTTTTATCAAAATGCTACTATAGGATCTAAATACTAAGCACATATTTTATAGCATAATAAAGTATCACCTGAGATAATGCGAAAACTATAACTAAGAACATTCGGTTACTATCTAGAACATATTTTTCACGTTTAGTAAAGGTATTTCGAAAATAATATAATTGATTATTATAAAACAGGAAAAGAAAAGAGAAAAAAATTTTCGACAGGTTTTTCAAAATTCATGTATGATTTCATTATAGATCAATTTAAAAATTTTTTTTTGATTTCTGACTCAATTTCATTGATTTATTTTTTATCCTTATTTGAATCTTTATTTGTTCCTCCTCCTTTTAATACCTTTTTTATTCTATACTTTCTTTTTTGAATTTCTTTCTTCTTTTCTTTTGTTCGTTCTTTCCCTTTTATCTTTTTTTATTTTTCTCTTATTTTTTTCACTTTTTCTTCTTATTATCTCCATTTTTAAATTTCTTTTTCCTTCTTTTTTTTCATCTTTTTTCTCTTTTTTCCTATTTCTTTTATCTCTTTTTTTTTAAATTTTTTTAATTTCTTTTCTTTCTTTACTTATAAGCAAAATTAAAGAACTTTACTAAAACTCTCTATTACTATTTATTTTTTTCTTTCCAATCTTTTTTAATTTCTTTCTTATCATTCTTTCTCCTTTTATTTCTTTCTCTCACCTTTTTTATTTTCTTTTATTTTGAATTTCTTTCGTTTGTTTTTTTCCTCTCCTACTTTTTTGTTTTTTTGTTTTTCCCTTTTTTCCTTTTTTCTTCTTTTTTGAATTTTATTTTCTTCTATTTATCACTTGTTCTTACCCTTTCCTTATCTTTTTCTTTCCTTTTCTTCTTTTTATAAATTTCTTTCTTTTATTTATACTTTTCTCTTCTACTTTTTTTGTTTCACCCTTATCATTTTTTCATTCTTTTCTTTTTGAATTCTTTTTTTCTATTTCTTTAATTTGTTTTTCCTCCTTCTTACCTTTTTCATTTTTTATCATTTTTTTTTATTAAGAAAAAATTTTTTCAAATAATTAATGTTCACTAGATTGAAAAAATGAACATCTTTATATGGATTGTCTACATATTTTGAATATTAGAATATAAATATTGTTTTCTTTCTTTTATTAATAGTGAAATAGGAATTATACCTATATTGCAATTTTTATCAAAACTATTATTCTGTAGTAGAATAAAAGGAATTTCTAATCCTTCAGATTCTTTTAAAGCATACACTTTACTGATATTATCAGGCAAACTACTAAAATGAAAATAATGGTATTTTTTATATTAGGAAGAGGAATAAAATAGTTTTTAAAAAAACTTTCAAAATTATACCAAATCCATCTATTTTAATAACAAATTGCTTCATTTCCTTTAGATAGGCAATTTACAACTCTTTTTATATCATTAATTGTATTAATTCTTGTGTCTTTATATACTTTTTTAATATGTCTAAAGAATGAATCACAAATAAATTTTGTATAACCTGGAATCAAAAATTTATAATAATGTCTTCATACTATCCTAATATAATTAACCATGTCTAAAACTATAAAGAAAGATTATTTTTATTTTGTTCTAAACAATTATCACAAGTAATTCTTAAATGTTTTTTTTCTATACATGCAAATTTTTAAAGTACACTATAAATCATATTTAAAATAGTATTAATCCCTTTGGTTGTACCTTTAGGAAATTCATCTTCTGCAATTAAAAAATTCAATTGATAATTTTGATCACCTTCAGTTTTATATACACTAAATAAATAAACAAAAAAGTATTTTTAAAATAAATAGTTCTTATTTGCTGTAAAAAATATGAAACTGATACATTTTAAGCCTAATCATAACAAATATGTGCTATAAACTTATTATTTTACTTTTATTAATATTTTTATTATAGTGTTCATATTCAAGATTTGCTACTTTAATATGTAATTTATATTGATTTTTAATTTTATTATATTCATCAATATTATATTTTACAATTTTTAACTCTATTTTTAAAATTTCACAAGTTTTACATAAGTCACTTGTTGATGTTTAAAATTTTATTTGTAGTATTAATTCATACTAAAGTTTTATAAAAACATTATAAAAAATTATTATTTGACTTTGATCATGTTCAATATTCTTTATACATTTTTCATAAATTGATACATATGTATTTTTAGTTAGTAAATAAATAAAAATACCTGAATCATTTTGATGATGTAAAGGGAAAAGTAAATCATAAATGTACTATATTGAATTAAAAAATTTTTACTGAAGATAAAACATGAAAATTAATATAAGCATGTGATAAAAGTATTAGAGTATTACTAGTATTTTCATATATACATTTCACTAAACTATTATCTTGTAAATGTTTTTAAAGTGTTGATAAATAATAATCAAAGGATTGGCAATCCTAGCTTAATCTGTAAGGTGTGAGTCCCTATTGTAGATTACACTGCGATAGTCACAGATTCAGACTTTAGCCGAGACATAAAACTAGATAATTTTCATAAGAATTTTATATGTAACTGAACACATGAGCGTTTAGATTAATAAACATTAGATACTGATTGATTGATCTGTCAATTAATGTTAATCATGCCTAAATA